GCGCCAAAGTCCAGCGCAACGAGGGCAGGCATGTCCGTGGGAGCACCAGGGGCATTGGAGTAAACTCGGGAGGCTACGTCAAGCTCCAAAATGTTGGTGCCGAAGTTGCGCTTGGGAATGAAGCCCCGTTGAGACCGCGGCGCCCAGTCCATAAGCAGCTTGCTGAATTGAATGTTGATAGTCGCCGTGATCAGCTTGATGTCTGTGTTGCGAAGACCCAGTACCCGAACCGCGCCCGGGGCGCGAATGCGCCCAGAAGCCCAGGAGTCGTCCACCTCCTCGCCCTTAGGCCGCCATACCTGGAGCGTGTCATTGGAGCTCTTGAACAGGAATTGCCCGCTCATGACCCACATCATGGCTTCGGCCAGAACATCAAGTCCAATCTCAGATGCTGCCCAAGCTGAGTAAGGAATAGAGTCAATGCTAGGTTCCGAGTAATGCATCTTGCGTGCAACACGTCGAAGCAAAGCTGGGGACGGAGGCGCCACTTGCGCGAAGTCCAGCGACGGAGCGTGCTGCTCAATGCAAGACTGCGCCAATTGCTGGTCGATGCTCTTCGCCCTGAAGATCGGAGCCCAGTGGTCAACCAAGCGCTGCGTCATAACAACCGAGTCACTTGACGCGTGCGTAGCGCCATTGGGGTGCTTGACTGCACGAAGGACCAGACGACGATTCAAGGGTGACCAAATAGCGGAGCGGCGCTCGACCGCAGCCATCTGGTGTCGGAGAGCCTGAGGAGCCCGAGGCCGTGCGAGTTGCTCTTCAAGACGCTGCCGAAGGTGATCAGCATGCCGACGTTGGATGTCATCGCACCAGCTCTGAACAGAAGCAGGGTGACGAAGCTGGACTCTGTGCCGCGATCGGTCAAGAAAGTCAGCCGCCGTAGAGTGATTAGAAACCAGCAAGGAAGCCAACCGAAAGTCGTTGCGCCAAACAACTCGAGCAATCTGACGGGCCAGAAGTAGAAGAGTGCGAAGCGATTCAGGGGCTCGCAAAAACTGTCTATCACGAAAGTCAGCAGCCACTTCTCGTAATGCCCACTTGTGAAGTTCCACCCGGCGCGGTGGGCTCTTGCTGGCATACTCGAGTTTGGAGCACACCGCTTCAACTTGTTGTCGATGTCCCACGGCTTCGAAGAGATGACGAGGAATGCGCTGTTGCTTCCGAGGCTTCGCTAGACGTTGGGTGAGCCGAACAGCATGAGCCGCATGATCGCTGACAAGACGATCTGCGAGAGCCTCAGGGCAGTCCACGACAGAGGGTTCAGACGTAATCTGCGCCATAATCCACCCAGGCCAGCTGCACCAGAAGCGGTCCAAAATAGAGACTGAGTGCGAGAGACGATCGTAGTGGGTGGGCTCATCCGAGGAGATCTCCATCATATCTTGAAGGGCCCGCTTCCACCGAGCCGCCTGAGCATGTTGGCCCTTGCCCTCGCAAAGTTGGCGATCAGGTTGGTGAAGGAGCAGAGGGGGCCGAGGGGCGAAGTTCATGTCGCCGCGGACTACCACCACGTAGTGGAGAGGGTCCGCTTGAGCACGGGAAAGGTCAGCCGCCAAAACCTTTGTGACCAAAGAGAGCTGACCAGGAGAAAGATCATGGCTGTGTACATTGTAGTGCGAAATGCGAACCCCAGCCAGTGAAAGAACGACTCGAAGAACACGACCACGAACCAGCTCGCGATGATGAACCGCGGACTCACATAATGAAGGAAGAATCGTAGCTACACCCCCCCGTACTGCAGAGCCCGCACAGTAACTGGTGTAAATACGCGCCCGTGGAAACACTTTGGCGAGAAAGTCCGCTAGCTGCTGCTGGTCCTGGTGCACCTCCTGGAGGGCAACAGTACCTCTAGTAAAATCCAGGCGCTTAAGGTAGGCAAGCTTGGGACGGGCATGAGCAGCGTGATATTGTAGAAGGGCCCGAGCATTCCACGAAGAGAAAGTGAAGGAAGGTGCACCAGCAAGAGGACCATGGATGGCTGAGGCAAAGTTGCTAAATATTCCACTCTGCCGCCTCTGGCGGTGCGACCACCGCACGGGCAGCATCTGCCAGCCGATCCTTGGGAAGATCGAGCTTTCGCACCAAGTTGTCAGCCCAGGCAATCTCGGAGGGAATGTTGCCAGGGTTGGGCGAGATGCGCAGTACTGGGTCCCATCCAGCCATGATGTAGCCCCTGTCGCGGTCGAAGAACCAGTTTTTGTCGCTAGCGATGTCGGTGAACGCCGCTTTGATCTTGCGCCCCTGGATCTCGAGCTTGATTTGCCTCGGGTTCTTGTCGGCGCCAATGTGGAGCGTGGCAGGCAAGTTGTCAGTGGCAACAACTTCGAAGCGCTTCCACTTGCCAGCCGAGATGCGCTGGGCGCCCAAGACTCTGGCAACCCGACGAGCAGCTGGGCCAACAGCGCCTGTGAACTGGATCGCGAACTGTCTGGCAACGTTCTCCTCGGATGAGATTTCGAAGTGCTTAGCCTCCACCCCCACCGTGACGATCCACTCCGTAAGAACCTGCTTGACCTTGTCCAGTTCGACCAGCTTGGAGGCCATGACGCGAATGATAGTGGCGTCGACGGAGCGCTCAAAGCCTGAGGCGCTGGCAGGCATAGGTTTCGGCGCCTTGTTAGCAAGCGCCAGTGCACCACGTAGCTCTTCGATCTGTTCTTTAAGGGTTTGAAGAACGGCATCGTGTTCATCCAGGCGCCGTTCAGAGGCACGGAGTCTGATCGTGTGGCCGTCGAGCTGAGCCTGGAACTTACGCTGGAACTGGTCAAGCTTGTCGGAGCAGAACTGTTCGGAGGCGTCTCGGGCCAGTTGCGGAAGCTGCGGGCCAGTTGCAGTCGCCGGAGGAGGAGGAGGAGGAGGAGGAGGAGGAGGAGGAGGAGGAGGAGGGAGGAGGAGGAGGAGGGGAAGGATGCTGACGCCACGAGCGCTTTGCCCGCTCAGCGGCTTGTCCAAGAAAAAGAAGGGGAGAAGCAGCAGCAGCTGGAGGAGGGGGGGGAAGAGGCCCTCTAGCAGCTGGGGGAGGGGTGAAGGGGAGGCCCTCTCTTTCCCCCAGGAGGTTCCGCCATTCCGGCCGCCTGGCTGCAAACCCCCACCCGCGCTTCGAGCTCAGGACGGCGCCCAAAACAAGCTCGATCGACAAGAGGACGAGGAGGACGAGGAGGAGGACGAGGAGGAGGACAAGGAGAGCGGACGAGGAGAGAAGACAAGGAGAGAGGAGGAAACGGAAGAGGAGGAGGAGGAGGAGGAGGAGGAGGAGGAGGAGGAGGAGGGGAGGAAGAGGAGGAGGAGGGAGGAGGCGCAGGAAGAGGAGGAGGAGGAGGAGGACGAGGAGGAGGAGGAGGAAGAGGGGAAAAGAAGGAGGAGGAGGAGGAGGAGGAGGAGGAGGAGGGAGGAGGAGGAGGATGAGGAGGAAAGGAGAGGAGGAGGAGGAGGAGGAGGAGGAGGAGGAGGAGGAGGAGGAGGGAGGGAGGAGGAGGAGGAGGAGGAGGAGGAGGAGGAGGAGGAGGAGGAGGAGGAGAAGGAATGGAGGAATGGAGGGAAGAGGTGGACTCCCGAGCCAGTCCAGAACCGACGCCCGCTCCAGCTTCTGCTTCTCCTGGGCCCCCATTCTTGCCTCTGGGAGCCCGGCTCGTGGGGCCCGAGTGGGCGCCCCCTCGGCCCAACTCCGCTGGCAATCCGGAGGCTTCAGGCAAGCTGCGGAAGCGCAGTGCTGCTGACGACTTTCGCACGGGGGCCCTTCTCGCCATCGCTCGGACGTCCATTCCCTGTGCTTTTTTCGGTTTCGTGCGTGGTTTTTTCGCCAAATGATCAAGGATGCTCCTAGATGGTCCTCGCCGAAGGGAAAAAGCACACGTCCGAGCGATGCCAAGCCTTGCTTCTCGGGATTGCCTGCGCGCTTTCGCAACTGAAAATGCCACGCCGTTGGGATACGCCCAGGGATCCACTTTTGGGCCAAGCCTGCTCCGGCGAGGGCCCAGAACGGATGCGATTCGGGCGGGACTCGAGCCCAACCTGGGCATCGCTCGGACGTCCATTCCCTGTTGTTTATCGATTTCTGCGTGGGCTTGTCGCCAAATGATCAAGGATGCTCCTCGATGGCCCTCGCCGAAGGAAAAATGCACACGTCCGAGCGATGCCAAGGGGGATGCTCGCGCTCGGGACGTCTACGTTAACATGAATTATCCTGGGCCCCATCGGACCCCTCTTGCGCCGTGATTTGGTTGACTCACACGGGGGGCCTCCTGGGCCGCCTCCAGGCTAGCTTTAACTGTCGCGGGGCCGTCGGGCCTCCAGCGGGGCAGTCTCGAACTTCATTGGGTCTGTGTTCAGCCTGCCTTGGGACCGCCTCCGGCGCGTCCAGCGGCAGCTAGACAGGACGGGCGGTGAACGCGGAGCGTCTTGAATAGAACGCATCTTTGTGGGGCTCAAGATTTCGATCGTCGCGCCCCGAAGAGAAGAAAACGATTTGTGAGGGTAAGCCAACGTTGGAGGGGCGCGCGAACTTCTCCTTTGGCACCATCGACTCTGACCGCAGCCAGATTGGACGCGTCCAGTAGCGCATCGAAGATCACGAGAGCCGAGTCGGCCACGACTGCGAGGGGGCAGGATGGGGATACTAAGCGATACTGCCGCTGCTACTCCCTGAACCTCTCCCGGGGTGCTTTCTGGCCACAACTTCGAAGCGAATCCAGCCGTGGCGACGAGGGCCTCTTAGGAGGCCCAGACAGGCGGCTGGGGAAAAAAGGAGCAGCAGCAGCAGCAGGAGCTTAGAGCACTAGCAGCAGCAAGGGCTCCCAATTTCGCGCTTCGCGCTGCGCGAAGCGCGGAGTGCGAATCACTTCGCGCTCGCGCGCCGCCCCCAAAGGGGAGAGGAGGAGGACGAGGAGGAGGGGGAGGAGGAACGAGGACCGCGAAGCGCGAAGAACTTCGCGCCCTCGAGGGCGCCCTTGCAGCAGGAGGCGCCCTGCGCGCAGGCCCCTGGAGCCCCCGGGGCCAGCTCAGGACTTCGGCGGGTGCAGGGGGCAGCTCCTGTGGGATGTGCTCCGCACCTCGTGGGGGGCCCCAGCAATAGGCACCGCCACCACCTCCCTCCCCGCCTCCCTCTCGCTAGAAAGCAGGGCTCGACTTAAACAGTGCTTTCCGGTCTCGTCTTGTTTTCGCCATCCCTAGTTCTGTCTTCGTTCCACACTTGCTCCAAAACGAAGCCAGAACGAAAACGGTACACGAAATTGCCGAAACACCGCTTAGCTTGAGCCCTGCCGGAAAGAGGAGGGAGGAGGAATCGACGTGGCGGTGGTGTATGCTCCTTGGGCCCCCGCCTCGTGCTCCAGCTCGAAGAGCGCGGCCCCAGACTCCGCGTCGACCACCTCCCGGAACCTGAAGCAGTGGTCTTTGCGGGCCTCCTCGAGGGTCGTCGTGGCGTCCAGGTGCTTGAACCTCGGGTTCACCTCTCGGGGGCGCGCGCTGCGACCGCCAGCCCCAATCCTGCCCCCCCCCTTTCAGGAGGCACGAGGAGCCAAGAGGAGGCCAGAGGGGAGAATGGTTTTGGGCGGCGGCTCGGGGTAGTCTTAAGGCGGTTCGGTGGTATTCAGGGGACTTCGATAGGCTCCCCTCCTCCTCGCGCTGTGAGGAGGGGCGGGGGCGGAGGACTCGGGAAAGGGGGGTCGGGGGGGAGGATTGAAATAGTGGTCGTGGCAAAGGTCTCCGATCTGAGGAAACCAAAACGTACCGATACCGCTACTCCCCAGACTTCTCCCAGAGTGCGGTCGAACCGCTGTTTCGAAGCGAAATGGCGACGAGGGAAATCCGAGGAGGCCCAAAAATACGAAAATGAGAAAAGGGTAACGGTATCGGCAAATTTCCACTCTGACGGTCGCCCACACTAGCCCCCGCGACAGCAGACGGAGGAAACACCCCTCGAAGTCGCCAACGTAGATCGCGACGTGCTCCCCGACCTCACGAGCGCCAAACTTATCCAAATCCACGCTCTCGCGGACTGGATTCTGGGGCGCGATCCCGCGGATGCGCGGCCGCACGGGTAAGTTCCGCGCGGGGCATCCGCGAACAAACGCCCCGTGTCCTCGGGGTCGCGGCCAAGGGGCTGGCCCGCGAGGCCGTGGATGCGGATATGTTCCCCGGACGACCTCCTTCCCAGTCGCACCAGGCGTGTCGCGCAGCACCAGCCGCTGGGAATCGCCGCGTGGGCCTCCGAGCACGGCCCACTCGCCCGGCCGGAGCTCCTGGGTACGGAAGCCGAGGGCCTCGCAGGGAAGAGGCCGCAATATACGTGTGTCTACGGCAGTGGAGAGGGAGAGGGGCGTACGTAGCTGGGGACAACAGGTGGCTTCTTCGTGGCTGGCGCCGATTGCCAGCTTGGCGGCTTGAAGGAGCCTCAGGTGGGCCTCGGGGTCGCTGCGACGAGATAGCGAGGCATCATGCTCGGCCTTAAAGACCACCAGCCCTCTTGGCGCGAGTGGTCCAACGAGCTCGTTTTGCTAACGTCTCTTTTTGCATTTGGGGAGGTGGTTCCCCCTTCCCGCAAACCCTGCCCCTGGGTCTGGGCAGGGCAGGGGAGGGGGGCGCGAGAAGCTGGAGCGCCCAAGATGGCGCTCAAGATAGCTCAGTGTGGTTCAAGCCTCCAACATGCTCCAGACAACCCGAGACGGCCCCAGGATGGCTCAGACTGCTCTCCACACCGAAGTAGAAAATGACGCGGACATCGGGGAAAGCAAATGTCGGTGTCGGCAGGATGTGGGATACATGTACTCCGAACTTCTTGTTAATCAACCGGGGGGTGACACAAGTGAAAACGATGCGCGGCCAACCCCTCCCTGGCACCACCGCCGCGCCCCAGCGGGGAAGGGAACGAACCCCAGACACCCCCCTGGCATCCCCGCGGACGCGACGCGGTTGACCCCCGGGGGCGCTCCAAGGGGGAGGGGGGGGCAAATATTAAGCGATCCAGAATACGGATTCCCTCCCGCACAACGCCTCAAATCGCGTCTAGGAAGCGGCTGCATGACTGCACGGGCCAATCCGGCGCTGGCGCCTTGAGACAAGGCGGCGGTGGTGATACAACAAGCATGATAGCTCCCCTCGGCGCCCCCCCCCATCAAAGTCGGAGGGGGGGGACCCGTTTGAGCGCTGCCGCCAAGGCACCGACTTCAACGCGAGGCCAAAGTGTCAGTGGTCGGCCAGCACGCCGACCACAAAACGATGTGCATCACAAACAACAGGGTAAAGTTACATCACCGTGCCTCTAGTCACACAGAAATTGGATTCACGAGTGGCCAGGCAACGCAAGTTTGGCATGGCAGCCAGACAAGGTTTATCCGCGCCCAGAAAGCCTGCGAGGCGGCCAGATACGGCTGGCCCCTGCCCAACAGGCCAGAGGAGGTGCGACTCCGCGCTAACCGTTGCTGTGAGTAGGCGCGACATCGCGCCGTACTTTAACACTCGGCCAGACAAACATCTCTTTTTGATAGGTTGCATGGCAGCTAGCGCGAAACCCGCCTAGACCTCGCCAGATCATTCAAGATGTGGGCGAGCAACCTCCGTGGTCGGAGCCGGCTCGTACTGCATGAAGGGAACAAGCCGAACCGAGAACCGAGAACCGTGACCGAACCGGACCGAACCAGCCATGAAAAAAAAATATCAAAAACGCGACGCCTAGTACTACTATTAAGTCGGGCCTGTCCCCCTACAGGGGGATTGTCGACGAACAATTGAAAAATACCCCAAAAATAATGAAAAAAATACTTACAAAATAGCCCCCAGACTATTTTTGGACTATTTTGTTGATTATTTTTGGGGTATGTTTTATTTTTCGCCGAAACCACCCCCCTGTAGGGGGACAGGCCCGACTTGATACTACTAGGCGTCGCGGGAAGTAGTCGAAAATCGTGGAGGCCAGATTCCTGAAGACTGCGCCCTGCGCCCCCGGCCTCGCCATCTCCCCGGGTGCCAGCTCCGGGTCGACCCGGGCGTTGGCCCCGACGCCCCGAGTCCACGCGCGCCAGCCCATGCTGCGGTTGACGCTCGTCCTCCAAACTCTCGAACGTCTGCGAGGCCAGGACAAATACTTGACAAGATCGGCGCGGGCGCCCTCGACCTCGGCGCCTGAGTTGCTGACGATGGACGGGAATATCATGACCAGGGCGCGGACCAAGCCTCACTGCAGTGCAGCGGCCTGTTGTTGTGGTGTCATGCGTCAAGAATTGACATTCGACCACGCGTGTACCTCCCTGGTCAAGGATCTGGAGAGCTCTGGCATTGCTCCCTTCACGCATCGTGTGGGCGATGGCAGCGTTTAAAATGACTGCCAGCATGCCGTGTACGACTCGGCCGCCGTACTTGATGCGATTGGCGAAGGTATTGGATGCGGAGGTAGGGGTGGCAGCGTCAGTCGCGTGTCCGCGATCAGGGAAGTTAGGGAGGTTCGCCAGTCGGCGCTCCTCGACCGCGGAGAGGGTCGCGCGACCGCGCCCGTGGGAGGAACACTTTCTCCCCGCGCAAGGGAGCTCAAACTCTCTGAAGAACCACGCAAGCGAGCACTCCATGGAGCACCGGTGGCAACGGTGACCACTCATCACGGGCGATGAAGCATTGAAGGCTTCAAGCTGAAGGAGGGAACGAAGGGGGAGGACGGGGGGGAACGATCGGGGATGGGCAGACCCCCCTTTAGTAAAACGTGGTTTAGTGAAAACGACCTCGGGCCCAAACCTGGCGGGCGCAAGCCCGGAAAATGACTGCCGCGGCACCCTCCAGAGAACCGAACATGGACAATTCACTGATGGACGTGTCAGGGTAGGAGGTCTGTCCACCCTCGAAACGAGAAGATGAAACCTGGACGGACGCGTTGTGTGCGCATCCCCGATGGCCAGCTGGCCATTTACACAAGGCACGTAACGGAGACCGGGCCCATCAGCGAGAGGAGTGAAACAGCGCGATCGCTCTGGACTCGGGCAGGGGGGGAGAGAGGAGGACAAGGAGGAGGAAGAGGACAACGGAGAATGAACAACCATCCCCGTCGGGTGGTGCGATCGCTAGGCGGTAGCCGCCGGCGAGCCAGTGCCAGAGCAGCACGGCACAAACGATACAATCGCTTTGAAAGAAACTACGATGAAGATGCCGCGCGCGTGCACAGAGCCGAAAGGATGTACGAGGGAAGCAGGAGCAACGGCGGCGGCGGCGGCAACGAGAAAAGGAGAACAACGGGCTGGGGCGCGGACAGCCGGCCCTCCGTGATAGCATTCGGGGGGGAGCGAGGACGAGGCAGGCAGAGGGGGCCAAAAGCTGGCCGACCCCAGCAGGGCCACCCAGCGTTCCGCACCCAGGAGGCGAGAGCTGGAGGCAGAGACGGGAAGGGAGGACCTCGTACTGCATCTCTCCCGGGAAGCCCCTCACGGGCGCAGGCGGCGTTACCGGCTCATGCTCACCACAGTAAGTCGGGCTGGGGGCCGGTGAGCTGGTCGGCGCGGGGGTCGGTGAGCTGGTCGGCGCGGGAGTCGGTGAGCTACTCGGTGCGGGAGCCGCCGATGATGGTATCAAGAGCCGTGCCAGCGTGGTGCAACACGGCATCGTGAACGTCTCGTGCAGTGTTCCTTCACTGCGACGGTGCCGTCTTCGGCCTGAGAGTCGGCGAGCTGGTCGGCGCTGGAGTCGGCGAGCTGGTCGGCGCGGGCTTTGTGGAGCTGGTCGGGCTGTGAGTCGTGGAGCTGGTAGGCGCGGGAGTCGGCGAGCTGGCCGGCTCTGGAGTCGGTGAGCTGGCCGGTGCGGGAGTCGGTGAGCTGGGCGGCGCGGGAGCCGTTGAGCTGGCTGGTCGGTGCGGGAGTCGATGAGCCGATCGGCGCGGGGGTCGGAGAGCAGGTCGGCGCGGGAGCCGGTGAGCAGGTCGGTGCGGGAGTCGGTGAGCTGGTCGGCGCGGGAGTCGGCGAGCTGGTCATTGCGGGAGTCGGTGAGCTGGTCGGTGCGGGAGTCGGTGAGCTGGTTGGTGCGGTAGTCGATGACCTTGTCGGTTCGGGAGTCGATGAGCGGGGACGGCGCGGGAGTCGGCGATCTGGTCGACGCGGGAGTCGCCAAGCTGGTCGGTGCGGGAGCCGCCGCCACCGCCGGGAGCTGCGGAGCATCAGATATCGTACAACTGATTGCATGTACAACCGCACGCACAAAGCCATACATGTCAGTACTGGCCCATGGACTTTTAAGCTTGAGCCAACGCCCCCACCACAAGCGGAATTCGGAATCGATGCACACACACAAACACACAAACACACAAACACACAAACTCACAAACACACAGACACACAAACACACAAACGCACAGACACACAAACACACGAACACACGAACACAAACACAATCACACACACACACGCACACGCACACGCACACGCACACGCACACGCACACGCACACGCACACGCACACGCACACACACACACACGCACACGCACACACACACACACGCACACACACACGCACGCACACACACACGCACGCACTCGCACACGCACACACACACACACACACGCACACACACACACGCACACACACACACACGCACACACGCACACACACACACACGCACACACACACACACGCACACACACACACACACGCACAAACGCACACACGCACACACACGCACACACGCACACACACACACGCACACACACACACACGCACACACGCACACACTGACACACACACACGCACACAAACACACACGCACACACGCACACACGCACACACTCACACACACGCACACACACACACACA